ATGTTCAGTATGACACAATTTATCATTTAACTACAGTATACATTAACAGCTTTATTACATATGTAAATACATATAATAAGCCTTCTATTTTTTTTTAACTAGGGAAATTTTCAGAGAAAGAATAGGATACTTCGCTTTTTCCTTGCAAACCTTTTCTTGCCCCATAGTGCCTCTGCTGCCAAGGTGACTTTGCTCCTAAAGGGTTCATAAATGCTTCGATAATTTCATAATATTCTCTCAATGCAAGAATGGGACAAAAGGCATAAGGCCAGGCTGGACTGCATAGAAAGGCTTCTCTGTAAAGAAAGTCTTCAGAATTCTTTTGAATCTTAGTAGGAGTATTAAAAACTATGTACAGTACATAGGATACCTGTGGTAGATAAATCATGTCTTTCTGAAGTCTTGGTTTGGCTGTTTTGTAAATACAGGCTGCATTTTTCAACACATTTCTGTAAATTTAAAAACAAATAAATAGGTTTGCTTTGTATCCTGCAATAAATCAATGAATATATATAATTCATTGTAATTTTAAAAGTCATTTAACATGGTCTAAATATATTGCCATTATGACATACCTTTGGGTTGTATGGCGCCTTGAACAGTTTGATGCAAAGCTGATGTGTAACATGGGCCTATTGGTAAGTGAACATATACGGCAGTTTGGTATCGACTTGCAGATATATTAAACAGAACTTATATCTTTGTTATTACCAAACACAGGAAATCTGATTAGTTTCACCTGTGGATGGCAAACAATTCCGACTCCTGAGGCTGATGTTGAGAGCTGTGTGCCAGCAGTGGGTCTGAGACCAGAGGAACCCAATGTACTCTCTCTCTCTCACTCACTCTCTCTCTCTCTCTCTCTCTCTCTCTCTCTCTCTCTCACACACACACACACACACACACACACACACACACACACACACACACATTTACAGTGCCATCCATCCATCCATTCCCCTCTCTCTCCATTCTCCTTTCCTTTCCAGGCACCTCCCCTCTTCCACTGGAATAAAATGTCCCATTAATACCAAAGGGGAAAAAAGTTTAAAGTCTTATTGCTTTTTAAAGTCTTGATGAACTAAAATAAAACAACACACACACACACACCATGAAATGGAAACTGTGATATCCTGTTTCCCTGAAAATAATACCTAACCTGAAAATAAGCTCTAGTACAGTGGACCCTTGACTTACAGACGGCTTGACTTACAGACTTTTTGAGTTACAGATTTCTCTGGCCGCAAAATTTAGGTTTGACTTGCAGACTGAGATTTGACTTACAGACCAGAAAAAAACCAAAATGGAACAAAAACGGCCTGTTACGGGATTAATCGGTTTTCAGTGCACTGTAGGTCAATGGAGACTTGACTTACAGACTTTTTGACTTGAGAACCGCCTTCCAATACGGATTAAGTTCTCAAGTCAAGACCCACTGTATGATTTTTCAGAACACTTGTAATAGAAGCCAAATAAGCCCCCTCCCGTTAAGTGAAACCCTGCCCTCCACCATTGTGCAGCAACCAGGATGACATGACTGCATTTGAATAAATGTAGATTGTTGTACATAAAAAAATAAGACATCCCCTGAAAATAAGCCCTAATGTGTTTTTTTGGAGCAAAAATTAATATAAGACCCTGTTTTATTTTCAGGGAAACACAGTATAATTTTACCACATCAGAGTAAGAAAGAAGTGAAATCCGAGGTTACCTGTGAATCAGAATCAGTATATATGCACATCATTCCCTGAACAAAGGTGGGCTCTGATAAATATGTGCATCTAAATTATGTTTAAACACATGTATAGGTAGGCAGAGTATTAGAAAACTCAGAAAACAGAACATTATTTTAGAAGACATTTCATTGGGGTTTTAAAGGAGAGGACCAGAGAGGAGAAAGTCATCACTTACCTGTGTGCATACACCTGAGTATGTGAAACTTCTACTGTGTTTTCTAGCCTTCTCCATTTGACAGCTCTTTCTGCATCTATGTTCTCTCTCAGTATACTTCCAGTGTTGACCTTTAAGGATGTATTAAATAGTCAGGTTCATTTATTCATTTTTAAAATGTATACATTTTATAAATGGCAACCACAACTGCCAGATGAGATATTAGCATATAATCTAAGAATATTCTTGGTATCTGACTGCTGGTTGTTAGGAAAAATGTTTTTTACACTTAAAAATTACCATGCAATAAACATTTATGTTTACAGCTTTTAAAACTAGTAATAAACATATCCACTAGCAAAAACTATACTAATAACTCTTTTATGTTTAGAAATGCAATCTGTATACAAATTAGCGCATCAAAAAGCAACAATATTACTTTATTAGGTTTATTTTAAGGACATAGATAATGCAGATTAAGTGAAACATAATAAATGTCCTTTCTTTACAAGAATTAGGTATAAACAGTATTTCCCACTTCATTTAAGTATTAATTCCAACCTGTGTTATTACTCCAATTATTTTTCCCATCTCTTTTTTCAAACATTTAAACAAAATACTTACAGAGTTACTTTCATCTCTGTATTCTACTTTACCTGAAAAATACAAGATACTTGATTTTTTAAAAAAGAAAAGAATTGGTAACATCTACCAATATCTTATTGATAACATATGACAGTACTGCTCTTTATCCATGTCACCTGCACTTCCACAAAAACCAAAAACAAAAATCTTCCAAACAGGGAAAATCAATGTATGAAAATCTTTAACCTGATCTCAGTAAAACAAAAACAAAAACAAAACACCACTGGCTGGTATACTGATCCCCCCCGAAAAAACAATGAACAGCCTATCACCCTGCATTCCAAATACACATTAAACTTCTTGTATCCTGCCTTAACACAAAATTCTAAGACTACATAACATCTCCAGATGAAAATGGAATATGTAATCATAAATGCAGAGCTAGTAATACAAAGTGCCTCGTGACACAATGGTTAAACTACAGTACTGCAGCCAAAACTCTCCTCATGACCCTGGTAACTGGCCCAAGGTTCACTCAAACTTCCATCCTTCTGAGGTCGACAAAGTGACTGCCCAGCTTCCTGATGGGGGTGTGCAATGTGTAGCCTGCATAATTAAAAATTGTAAATCATCCAGGGAGTGTTTGAAGCACTATGGGGCAGTATATAAGCAACATACTTTGCTTTTGCTTTTGGAAATGCAACTTTGGCAGGTTGAAAAATTATACGGTGTTGCTGAAGTACAGAGAAATTTAATATTTATATTTTGCCTTTACATAAACATTCAAGGCAACTTGCAAAACCCAGGAAATCTATACAGTTTCTCTAAGTTAAACAATCAAAAGGAAAAAAGCAATGTTTAAAAGTAATATAGCTGAATGACTTTTCCTGGAGTTAAATAAAATACTTCCTTTTAAAAAACAAAAATATTGAACTGACACTTAAAAGAAAGTCAGAGAAAGTGCCTGAATAACCTCCCTCTAGTCATTTGATCTTTCCAAAGACTACTGGGTTGCCCATAACAGTGAGGGAGAGCTACATATCTCTAAGAGACATTTCTCAACACCACACTTCTGGAAAGCCAATATAAATTTATTACTGGGGTTATACCCGGAAGAAATAGCCATGTCACTTTCTTGATATGCTCTTGAACATTCTTACTGCATTAAGTAATGTTTTTTCTAGGACAGCCATAAAAACAACTGGGCAGGGCACAAAACTATGACCCAGAACACATGAGTTTAGCAATAAGTATAGAAGAGATTTCCACTAGAAGTCTATATAGATGGACCTAAGATTTATCGTAGGCTTGAAAATTCCAGGTTTGAGAAATCGATCCAACAATGGAAAGATAACACTGTTTTTACAAAGATAATTACTCAGAGTTTATATGAGTCTGTAAAGCACAACACTGTGAAAGGACTAGCCTTCCCTGTGTATTTTTGAAAATTGTGCAAGTAGAGGATATCCTACTGTTGAAAACTGTTTGCTTTTTGTGTAACTATTTTATGTACCTATCGATGTATCTTTACACTTCAACATTCTTTTTCAAACTCTTGAATGTACGTACCTCCAAATGCATTCTGCTTCCATGAATTTAATTCCACATAGATGGTGCAGACATATGGATAGGGAGTAAGAAATGTATCACCATGCATTAATCTCAAGTTTGACACCCTTTCCCACTTATTTAAATCTGGAAAATGGAGTTAAGGCTTAATAATGCAGCAACCAATTGGAGGGGAAATGTGAAAATTACATAGTTATTCTTGGCACACTTTATGCACCTTGCTCACTGGATACATAAAAATACAGTGGTACTGTCCACCAGTTCTATTCATATGGTGAGACAACAAGAGAGAACCAATGGACATACAGTATACAAACAAATTTATACCTCTGGATTTATATAGGCAGCAATATATTACAGAGACCACATATTTTCTATGCGCACATAAGGAAGAACAGGAGTAATGACAAATTAGTACGCAGGAAAAACATATAAATAGACATTTAAATAAACATATGTCTGCCTAATGTAATTTTTATGAACTGGATTTATCAGCAATATATTACAGAGACCACATATTTTCTATGTGCGCATAAGGAAGGACAGGAGTAATGACAAATGAGTAAGCAGGAAAAATAGAAACATATAAATAAACATTTAAATAAACATCTGTCTGTGTAATGTATTTTTTATGAATTTTTACCCTACCCTTTACCCTTCAGTGTGAAAACATATCCATATCAGCTAAAAAAATAACAAAACCTAAGGCTCCTATGTAGATCTAGTTTTAAGAAGGAGCAGAAGTTTAACATACTAGTTATGACTAAAACTTTCACCTCTAAAATGTTTTATTTCCACCAGTTCTATTTTTACAACTGCCACCCCATCCCCACCACTTCTTGGATGCATTCTGCCTTTCCAACTGGGGAGCAGGGCAAGGAGCACCTCTTTCGGGCTGGAGCTGCTTTTGATTCAGAGTCTCTCAGCTGCTAACCCTTGTCTTAAAGGCTACAAATTAGGAAAATAACAAAAGAGGAGACAACAGTGATGTGATCTGGAGCACAGAAACAATAGTTAGGCAAAAGAGAAAATAGAAATGCATAGGTGTAAAGGTATTTTTCCCTCCTTCTTATTTCCACAAGTACGGTATCTTCGTTTCACTGAAAAGCAACAGTATATGTTGGGGAGCTTTTTCCACTCAAGTAGTTACTTAAAGCTCATAATGTTCACAAAAGATTTTCCAAATGGGTAAATCATCAGCTGTTACCTCACAGGTAACATTCATTTAAGTGCTACCCAGCAGGAAGTCAGTATTTATTCACACCAAATGAAATGCTTCCTAATTTCCCCCATCTAAATTCTCACCCCTTTGTTGTTGCTTATCTTTTTTCCCTCACTGTAAACCCTGTAAGATCTTGCTAGTGCTGGTCACTCACATCCTAGTACAAGCTTCTTTTACTAGGATGCATTTATTGTTAAATTGATCCCTGTTTCCCATATGATCACATACCTGCTTATTACTAGCATACATTAACTGAGATTCTAAAATATACATATGCTTCCTGGCTTCCTTCTCTTTTAAGTGCTCATTAATATTGGGGGCATCCTATTTCCTGGTAAGTGCCTAATGCCCAGTGCACATCTCTTTGTGCAAGGCTGACCTTACCAAAGGGCAAAGTGTGGTAATTGACTCAGAGAGCAGGTGCTGGGTGGGGTATCTGGGAAGCCTTCCTCATATCTTCATGAGGTCCCTGACTCTTCTCTAAGTGGCAAGTCAGAGCAGCATATGGCACACAACTTGTTGTGAGACACATAAACTAGTATCAGTTGCCGTGGGAAGCCCTGTGCAGAAGTAAGATTCTACTGCTAGTCCAGCTGACTATATAGAGCAAGGGAAGGCTGACAGCCCATCTCAGACAGCAAAATATCTCCATACTGCCCTGTCTTCATGTATGATGAGTATCAATTTCATTTTATTACCACCAAAAAGTGCTCCCCTCTGAGATGTAGTGAGGAGAGTCAATGTATTTTATGTCAAGTGGGCTGTAAAAAATATTTGATTTGCTTTATTCCATACTGACAAAAGGATACATGGAAATATGATCAAGTGTTCAGTAGTAAATGGACATAAATTATCAAGGTTTCCAAGTATTACTCGAATAGCCTCCTGGAAGATTAAAATGAAGTTCTACAGTTTCTGTTAGTTCTCCTCATTTTCTGACATTAAACACAATTCTATGGAAAAGCCTATTCAGTACAGTAAGGTTGTTCTCAGGTTTTACCAAGAAAATTTCTGAGTCCAAAATCCAAATAAATAAATACTGTGTATCTAAGGACAGCTGCAAAACTTGTTTCCTTGTTTCTCAAGTTTCTAGTGACATGTTTGGTCACGCAATAATCAATTGTGCAAGCGTAGAAAGACCCAGCACGCAACAGA